TCCAAAGACCAAGATTCTGGTGGAACTGGGACAGAAAGTTCATCACTATGCTCAACGGGCCGCAAAGCTGTTGGTAAGTTAAAATACTTAACAGTATGTTTCGATTTTCGTCCAATACCTTTAATATTTGTGAGGCAAAAATAGCAATCAGTAGTATGGTCTCTCGGTTCTCTCCAAACCATTGGTACCGCAAAGGGCATTTTGCAGATGGCGTCTCTTAACCAACCTCTTAACAACGTTACACAAGTCTTACAACATATATGAGGGGCCTATAGTTTATCTTGGTCGCCAACTTTAATTATATAATAAAGTTCGTGTGCTTTGAACACAAGACTAAAAGTAGGTTTATTGGATTTAAAAGTTAGCTCTCCGCACACATAGCAAAAACTGTTCGCACTATTTACACAATTTCTAGGAATTGTTCATAAAGCTAGTCTCGATCACAATAAACTAAAAACAGCACTCCGTTTTAACAAAAATTAACAGTACTCAGAACATGTCACTACTCTTCAAAACAGAAAACGTAACTGACTCGGCTGCTATTAGTCTACTAATAAATGCAGTGTACTCTCTAAACATAGAGGTCGTACAAAACAAACAGGAATAGACAGGTCTTAGCATTATATATGTGGAACATCGCATAAACGCCGAGAAATGCAGCAATATGAGAAGTTACGTATCGTAATTCATAAAAGTAGATGTTACCGAATATCTGTGGCTGTTAGAAAAATTCTGTTTTTAGATTTGAATTAAGGGTTTCGAAATACAAAAATTGTCATGTCACAAATTATGTGTTTATCAGTATTATTACAAAACTAAGTGTTAACTTTTAAATTGTCAATAACCCTATTTATGTTAACAATAAAAAAGCTTAATTTGCTTAAGTCGAAATAAGTTTACATAAATTTATACTCCATTAAAACATAATATGTTGTCTTTTAAACGACATATTTGTTTTTTGGATCTGATGAATAATTTTTTAAAGAAATATAGTTAAAGTCATAAGTCTTCAGTGGTCCGATTCCTATGCACACAAGTGTATTTATTAACATAAATATATTTATACACTTTCACGTTCTTGAAACAAAACAATAGAGGTAATGGATAAGCAACCATATGACACGCTTCCAGCTCGGCAAGACTGGCAGAGGGATAATTAGACTGAAAATGGTTTGGGTGGGACAATATGATGAGCATAACGTTAAGAGGGTCTGGGAGGAGATATCAGATGGTGTGAATTAGGCAGTTCAGTTATCGGATATTGTCTTGGAATACTGATTTCATAAAGGGCAAACAGGATAGGACCTTGTACTGGATAACGAAGGGTGAGAAGGTACTTTCAAATGAGTAATTTCCTTTAACCGGCAATGATCTATTGAAAATTTAAAATGAGGTAACGATTCATCGCTCGTTTTTCTTCTCAGTCTGCGTCCACATTTTGTTAGTGAATATTTTTCATTTCTTTCCCTACTGGAGTCAAGCTATAGTCGTTTTCACACCTTGGGCTAAATGTTAGCCATAATGTCGTAAAAAACGTCTGTACCACGTATCTCGAAAATGAATAATTTAGGAGATATTTTGATGTTAGTTTTGGACGTATTTTCTGCTCTTCTGCCGTTTTGCGTCTAAGGCTCCATACCATATACAGGGTGTTAGGGAAATAATATTCATAACTTTAAGAGGTGATTCCTTGCATTATTTTAAGCAAAACAGTTCACACCCCGTATACATCAAATTACAATTTTTGTAATAATGCTCTCGCACAATTCACTCAGTCGTTTCATTATCCTCCTTGTAGCATTATTCAGTATAAAAACTCCTGCCGTCCTCAAAGATAGCGGAGCTAGTTAATTATCCGACCACAATTCGCGTCAGAATCGAACAAAGGGGCCCCGGCGCCACAAACGGAGGAGCCCCCAGGGGGCCTTACAGAACACAATGTATCTCCTACTATCTTGGATGACAGTGTTGCTCCCGCACCGGTATTTGTTTATCACTTCAAGAGGAGATATACTGCGACCTGCTCTGACGAACACTTTCTTCTTCTATGTCGTCATCGGTCAATAATAGAAAGACCTGCATACAGAGGTTAAATAGCACTGGGATCGTTGCAAAAGGCATCACGTTAACAAAGTACCTTGTCCTGCATTTAAGGCAGGCAAAGAATGTCTTCTCGATGCTTTATTTTGTTATGTAGTAATGGGAATCCACTGCCCTACTGATATTACAAATGAGATTTGGATAAAATCTGGTACAGAGATATGATATAGTCTCGAGTATCTCATTGCTTTATCCAGTGCAATAACTTTCAAATATACATATATTCCACCGGCTACTGCCGATACGATTTAATGGAATTTGACATGAGTATCGTCAGTCGTTCCTACAATTGTGGGACGCCTTTATGGCCTCTTTGATTTTTATAGCTTTCTACTGCTCCGTGTCAGCGCTCTATCTTGAGGTTATGTCATAAAAAGCTATTTGCATCAAATTGTTGATGCTTTTGACTTATATCTTAGGTCTTATCAGCCTGAAATTTCCTACAATTCAAAAAGAAAACATATCTTCACAATAGGAGATCGTTGACGCTGACACGGACTAGTAGAAACCTAGAAATATCCCAGCCTTTCTGAAGGGACTATGAAAATCAAGGAGGCCATAAAGGCGTCCTACAATATTATAGGAATGACTGAATATAGGGCCCTAAGGTTTCTTTGGTATTTTATTTTTAAGTATAGCCTATATGTTTATTTTAGAGTTTTCTAAAAAAAGGGTAACAAACTTACAGGTTCAAAATGCTTACGTTCAGTAAAATTTGAGATTCTATTTTGCTCCAGCTTTCACTGTTTATGGTCGTACCCTTTTTCTAATAAAACATTTATTATGTGAGTGATATAAACGAAAGTTATAGGGAGACTTACTTGGATCAGCGAGAGAGTGTCAACTCCCTTAGAAATCGTTTTATCGTCACATTTAAGGTCATCGATAAATGACTCTTGTTACCCTAAGCCTTTAAAAAAATACGTGGTTGACAAGCTTTCGGGGTAGTTCATAGGCATTCTGCAAATACGAGGACATATTCGTTGATGATTTGGCGAACAACGCCACTCCTATAACCGATCATGGGTCTCATTTACTAAGTGTACACTTTTTTACGTCTCTTCGTATTGTTTATCAGAAATGATGATGGCAGAAAGCAGAGACATCCACATTTATACAGGGTGGCGCATAGAAAACGAAACAGACGCATTTACTGGCAGCTCATTTTTTTTTGTAAAACGCTCAGACCCGTCGTTTTTGTTTTCGAGGGGGACACAAGTTTGGCAAAAAATCACGTTAGCACGTGCAGCCCCCTAAGCGGAGGTGATACCACCCCCAAAATCTTAAACGGAAAGGGGGGTCGAGTGATACCTTATTTTGAAGGTCTTTCAATTCCCTTTATAATGATATAAAATTAATGTACTTCAGTTCAGTAGTTTTGAAGATTTATTGATTTGAAGCTTAAATAAAACTAATACATCATCATTAGTGGAGATCAATACATTTGGCAGCAAAGTAATTTAAAGATGTTGTAGTAAATGTTGAAAATATTGGTTGAAGGCGCTCATTCACAATTCTTTGTCGCAGGTCTAATGATGTTGGATGAATATCATAGATTTTGCTTTTTAAATGACCCCAATTCCAAATACATTTCACCGATCAAATTTCCAGGTAAGAAAAAAGGACCAACTAAATGATCGCCAAAAATACCAGCCAGAACATTTAGTTTTTGTGGGTGCTGTGTATGAACCTCATGATAAATTCTTTTATTAGAATCGGACCAATATCGGCAGTTAAGATGATTTACTACGCCATTTAAGAAAAAGGAACAAAATGATAAACAAACCATGGGCGTAGTGAAGAAAAGCATTTACTTATTAAGTACTTATTAAGTAAATTCATTTAGTCAAATTTCTTCTGAAAGTAGTAAAAACTAAACTGATATACCTATTAAAGTCTACTTTAAGCTTTAAATTAATAAATCCTCAAAACTACTGAACTGAAGCTCATGTATTTTACATCATTATAAAGGGAATTGAAAGACCTTCAAAATAAGGTATCACTTGATCCTCCTTTCCATTTAAGATTTTAGGGTTGGCGTCACCCCCGTCCAGGGGCTGCAAGTGTCCCCCTCGAAATCAAAATCGTTGGGTCTGTGCGTTTTTCCAAAAAAAACTGGGCTGCCAGTAATTGCGTCTGTTTCGTGTTCGATGCGCCACCCTGTATATCGTTGCATTAAAATGTTCAAAGTAACTCTTGCATTACTTCGAACATTGCACTCCTTTGTCTTGAGATAATCTATGACCTATAACTGTTCCCGCTCAAGCTGAATCGCGGGTTTATGCTAGTAAAATCTTCGTAAAACTAAGCTAGTGTAGAGTAGATATTCTGATCCCCATATAAGGAAGATAGGTGTAAAGGGTTATTTGAATATTTGAGGCAAAATTCATATAAAGAACCTAATCTGGCACAATTTTGTAAAGGTCTTGTAGTTACTGAAATTTGATATTGAAAATAGTATGAGGTATAGTGGTATAGAATGTATCTTGGCTTAAATTTATAGGATTTCCATACTAGCAATATTGCCACTGTTTCCTGAAGCACCATATTTCTTTAACCAAGAAGATCATCAGGTTTAGCTTTTTTTCGTGAAATTGCAACGAAAACTAAATTTTTTTATTAGGCTTTTGCTCCAGACGAGTTACGGTTTGAGGTGGATGTTTTCTGAAGTAACTATTGGAGGTGTTTGGGGAAATCATGTATAATAAGAATGTCGATATGCGCATTTCTGGCAAGAAGCGCAAATTGGGTCATAGAAAAAAAAATTATTTTTACTGCTAGTTTTTTTACAGAATTGTGTTATATCCTGAAAGTTGGCGATTTCAGGGCAAAACAGAAATTAATTTATTTACTTCTTCTGAGTAGACATATATTACTGATGCATTGGTGTATGATAGCAAATCTCCGTAAAAAGATAAAGACGATTGAAAAACACAGAAAAGTTTGATAATATTTCCGCCTCTCCCCAAACTGGCACATATAGGCAGCAGCTGTGGCCGCAGTAGTAGACTCTTCGATCTCCTGATCAGTCGCCGTGCGCTGTGCGGGTTCGAGTCCCGTCCCAAGAGAAATTTTTCTCTTGGCTATAGATGTTGTGATTGTCCGTAGGTGGTAGACGGTCTCTGACTGTCGAACGTGGAGGTACCACCTGGCGGATCTCGTAGGCGGAGGCCAGAATGTGTGCATGTTGCATGCACACGTGTTCCCTCGCCAGAGTCCGTGTGGCGTTCCCCTTTTACCCTGCATCCCCCTATAGCCCCAAGGTACCCACTGGGTGTTTAGGCCTTAGGCCTCCGTGGTAGTTGGAGTATAAAAAAAAATATCAATATTCTTATTATATACTATTTCTTGAAACACCTCCACCAGAAGCTTCAGCAACTTCAAAAAGCACCCTCCTGTTTGCGACATTCTAGTAACCTCAGAACTATTTTACGAAAAGCACGAATCACTTTGAACAATGTTGTTACAAAATACAAGCAACTACTGTACTAATGGCCATAAAAATCACTCACTACGAACGCCAAACACTTCGTTTGACCCTAACGATTTATTATCTCTCGGTTTCAATTTCCTCTGATTGTATACATTAATAGTAAAGAGACAACGAGTGGGGTGAGCTTTATTTATTCTTCCTCGAAGGAAATGTTATCTTTCTCGGAGAAAACGATGTTGATATGGGAAGTAGATACGCGTGGATGAAAAACTGGTAGATTTAGTTCTGTATAGATTGATAAGGAAATCACGTATTAAACCTAATTCGTAGATACAACAACAGGCCTGATTATGGATGGCCCAGCAGTGGTTATGAACAGAAGTCAGAAGGAAACACTACAGACATTGCTAATGACTTTGTGATTTCTTTGGCCATTGATTGTAAGCCTAGTAGCTATTTATTGCCGTTCTAATCCATGTTAGCAGACTCTCAGACAACTTTTTCGTATTAAATCGTTACAATTCTCGGAGATAATACTTTCTGGTCAAATTCGCAAATACTATCCCCTCATATCGTTTTGTTCAAACGTCTTCATGAGCTCTCCGTTCGAGTATCAATGGTTGAGTATGATGTTTTCCATTCCAGTCTGTTTATAAGTCACTTTGAGCGTATGGTAATAATAAAAAGGGTTCTGGAGTTACAAAGTTTACACGCATAAATCATTCGATAAAATATGGGCTCATGAAGGAAACCACCATGACTTTATGAATTTGGCTACTGATTAGCAGCTATCATAACACCGACTTAACCCGTCTACCAAACGTTAACAAATAGGCAGCAGCGGTGGCCGCAGTAGTAGACTCTTCGGTCTCCTGATCAGCCGCCGTGCGCTGTGCGGGTTCGAGTCCCGTCCCAGGAGAAATTCTTCTCTTGGCTATGGATGTTGTGATTGTCCGTAGGTGGTAGACGGTCTCTGACTGTCGAACGCGGTACCACCCGGCGGATCTCGTAGGCGGAGCCAGAATGTGTGCATCTTGCATGCACACGTGTTCCCTCGCCAGAGTCCGTGTGGCGTTTCCCCTTTCCCATGTATCCCCCTATAGCCCCACGGTACCCAATGGGTGCTTAGGCCTTAGGCCTTCGTGGTAGTTGGAGTATAAAAAAAATGCTGGCATACATTTGGCACACCTTAGATAGTTAAGAGAATGGAAAGAAATAAACGAAAGGCACCGAATTTTCACAAAATAGTTTTTATCTTATTCTGTCCCTATTTGAGGTGGGATGTTTAAATAAAAGCTACATAACCATTATCTCTCTGTCCCCTCTATAATTTGGTATAATTAGAAATGCAATACAACGGTTCGTCTCTTATCCCCACTCATCAAAATTATTTTTTCTCATAGGCGCCAATTTTGATTTTTGTACAGGTGAATACAGTTTTTAATTCTGAACCCAAAAATGTCATACATTGAAATTGCCAAACCTTAGATAACAAAAAAAGCAGAATTTTCTAAGTAGGCCTTGAAATAATCAGATAATCATTTGTTTCAGACTATCATGAGCCAAGCATTCTTTCTCTTTTTATGAGCTAGGCATAGGTGAACAGTACTTATTGTCGATTTTAATGATATGACTTGCTTTGATGTAATAAAGCTTCAAATAGTAGGTCTTAATTCATCGAATGAAGAATAACCTAATGCTAAAACTTTTTCATATTATCTAAGGGTCGTATTGAGAAGATAGTATATTGTATAGAATAGTATTATCTTCTGTAATTGATAAGAACATTTTGGTGTAAGTGAAACCTAAGACGAAGTTTCAGCTTCCTAAACATATTTCACATCCCTCATATCTAAACTAATGCACACCTGCCTTCAAGCATTATTGATCTACGGCTGAGGTGTCATATACGAGCCCCTTCCCACTTCAATTGGCCCACTTCAAGATTTGTACTAAAATATGCCTTTATAAACTAAACATGACGGAATTATTTACTTCTAAAACAATTTATTTTCTCAAAAACATTATAGATGCACTCTAGTCGTAAAAAATACATATTTGAAATCACTTACACCTATGACTAGTCGAACATCTGAACAAATAAACAATGTGCGAATAACAGCGCGAAGTTAACAAAGCAACAATTGAAAGATTACAATTGGGCAACATCACCTTTATTTTTTATTACGGCTGGAATTCTTTGGGGCATGGTGCTAACCAAGTTTTGGCAAAAATTTGGTGTAAAATAATCCCATATTTCTTGAAGCTTTTGTCTCAGTTCGGTGATTGTACGAGCAGGATGTTGTCGTAGAACCTTTTTCAACTCGTGCCACAAAGTTTCAATAGGTGACAGATCTGGATTGCTAGAAATCCATTTCAAACGTGGTACATTATTTTCTTCCATCCATTTTATAGCATTTTTTGAGGTATGGCACGCTGCACCAATTTGCTGAAACACAAAATCTTGGCCGGATGTCAACCATTCTTCCATCACTGGTAAAAGCGATTCTTCTAAAATTGCCAAACATTTGTTTGTATCCACATTTCCATCAGTAAAATGAAGTTTTCCTACTCCTTTTGATGACATACTGCCCCAGACCATAATGGATGCTGGAAATTTCACTTTTCTCTTCAGACAATCAACATGGAATGCTTCATTTTTTTGTGAATAACTCTACTGCGACTGCCACCAACACAAACTTCGAATCGGGCCTCATCACTCCATTGTATTGTACACTATTGTTGAGGTGTCCATTATCTATGTTCTTTAGCCCATTTTTCTTTTGCAGTGGAGTTAATAGTGACTTTTCTTTGGCCTATAAACAAGTTGTGCAGCTTTAGGGTTTTTACTTCACTACTACTAATACATACCACCTTGCAAGTGCTAAATCCCAGTTTGTGGGCCCCTCTATGAGTTGTGGACCTCGAAATTCATCTTCCAACAGCGTCACCCCGCAGAGCACTTAATTGTAAATAATTGGCACGCCTGTTTTTCACGATTATTCTTCTTAATGCTCTTCGGTCGGCATTTGTGATATTACTTTTTTCACATATCGTGGCTTAATATTAACTGAACTAGTTACGTTATATCTTCTAACAATATTTCTCACACTGTACCGCGATAAGTCTAACAAAGTTGCGGTTTCTGAGTTTGATTTCCCAGAATTAAAAAATTTAATTATCAGTAACCGAATTTTCTCACTAATAACCTTTCCTCTACCCATTTTGAAAACCTTAACTACCCAAAACTATTTTAAACGTATTCTGACAGCTGTGGCTAAGAAAAACAATTGTCATGGCTTTTATTTTTCACAGCCACCTATGCGTTATAGACTTATTTTGCACTGATTTGAAAATAGGTTGATATGCTGTAATTGCAACATGTGTTATTTTTATGCTGCAAATTTTATTAGGGAATGATAATGTTGGTGTTTTCTACTATATGTTATCAAAATATTCATTGTTAATATTTTAAACCTATAACACTACATTTTTATTATTTTGTGTTTGATAAGACAAAAACTAAGATTTCAACAGTTGGGCCAACTGAAGTGGGAAGGGGCTCGTAGAGCAGCTCTATCGTACTGGAGTATCTCTTGCTTTAATCAATAGATGGACAAATTGTGTGAATGTTCTTCAAACACTGAAAACTGAAGCATCCGTGATTCAGTCTGATAAACATGTGATAAACTGTCATTTTCAAAGCCAACTGTGAAAGTGTTAGGTTTTTTCAATAACTTACGTTTGATATAGTGTATGATATATCGTGTATTTTTAGAATGGGAATCAAAAACTCTATTCATCCGTGCGAAAAACAAATACGGAAAATACGAAAAAACAAGGTAGATGATTGACGATAGGTGACGAAACGTTATATTGAAATTCTAGTTATGCCATCTTATAGAGAAGAAAAATTGGTAATGTTAGTGTACTTCTCACTTTGAACTCCTACCCTGAATGAAGGCAAGATAGAATGAAAACGATTTTGTGAGACTTTCTCTCGACTATTTCCGGAAATAATCGGAATTGCGAAACGTTCTAACGGTTTTTTGTTTACTTATCTTAATGTCCAATGCTCAGATTCAATCAACTTTGTATCTCTTGCGGTTCCCAGGATCTCAATGGTGGGACTCAAATTTCAAACATCCGGTATGTATAGAACTCCCTGACCACTGCTACAACTGTACTATATTTACTTTTTCCGAATAAATATATAATAAACTGGCAGAAACTAGACGGATGCGGGTTAATTTAATTTAGAAGAGGATTGGAGTAAATCCAAGACGATGCAAATTATAAATCTTTGATCCGTTCTCATCCAATATCCGTTGACAAAATGCGATGCATATATTTTGCATCCTCAACTTTCTCAACTTGATCTGCATTAACCAGCTTCTTAGGCTTTCTCAGTTTCGCGTTGGCAGATGAATCGCAAAACACTCCCTTCACCGCACGACCTAGAAATATCAGCCTTAGCTAAGGAAGCGGTGGAATTAAAGGAAAACAAGCAGTTCCTTGAGCAGGATAAGTAATCAGACTATGCGGAAGCCCTTGAAGGGATACGTTTTGACGTTGAGAGAAGTAGGTAATGAAACGGTGTTGCTAGATAACCTAATAATCCGTTTCCACATCCCTAGTTTGATCCATATTGACGAACTAGGTAACTCGACCATGTTTGCCTTCAAGATTTCGGGAGGCTGCTCTGACGAAGGTGCCTAAACTCCATTAAGACGTAGTTAATTTTGAGTAGAGGCAAATTTGTTCAGTGTGCGGGGAAGTATGAAAGGGATTACGGACCCCATCATAATTGAAGGGCTTGTCCTTGGCGGTGAGAAGCTCTCAATTTACGATTACATCATTTTCATGGACCCGCTTTTTCGGAAAAATCTTCAAAAAACATTCTCAGAGTACTGTGAAGCTTTTATGAAAAGGCAATATCGAAATAAGACAACTCACAGTGCCATATATTATTTATCAGAACCAATCACTGCAACAGTGAAAACACCGATTCTGGCACTATAGTAGGTACGGTCTACTCGCTATTGAATAAACTAGTAATATAGCTTTCATTCCCGCGACCACAGGTGGTCAATAATGGTTGGCGTCTAGCGGCCACGGTGGTGACTAGGCTGACAATGCGAACTGGGATACAATTCCAATAGTCTGCTTGATGCTTTCACCAACGCAGTAATCGGTTCTGATGATAGATGGCACTGTGTGCTGTCTCATTTCGATAAACCTTATGCTCTGAAGAGAGTAGAATTGTTCAGCTTTTGTTCGTTGTCTACCGAGACCAAGCCTACACCACGCTGAATAGTTGCCAAATAGCACGAAAGATATATTACTAGTTTATAAAGCAATATGTTTCACCGTAGCAATGATACGCTGCCAAGATCATCCGATCCACATATATGAATGATGGGTGGGTGCACCACAGAAGCCAATCTCCTTGTAAGGATTAATCGTAGTTATTGATATCTACTCATACTAACACTCATCGATCTCAGGAATACAGAAGCCGCACCGAATCCCTCGAGCAGTCATCGTGTCAACGCCGTCACTCACTTTGTTGACTTCGGTCGTCGACATTAAAATTATAGTACGAGCTCACAGCAAAACGTGATTTTGTCAGTACACTTCTAATCGTGCATGGCGGAGCATCGTACGTACACGTATTGCCCAGTTATAACGTCAAAATGTGAGTGTCGTAATAGAAAATCCCGCAAGTGCAAGGTGCGAGGTGTAAGATTTATTTAAGCAAAAAATCAGTCGCCTGCCGAGAAATTGTGTGCGAATTGAGGCCCAAACGCTATGAATGACGGTGGAGTCTGTCAGTGGGTGTGATTTTTTTAAAAGGGAAAAGCAAGCATTTCTTCTCTTGTCAGTGATGACCTATTTAACAAAGTAGATGAAAAAGCTTGTGGCTTCACAATTCTGGAACTTCTCGATCATTTTCCTGCAATTCCCCGGAATCTTTTATAAGAGGTAGCAACATAAGAACTAAGCTACAAGTTTTGTGCTCGTTGGATACAGAAATTGCTGACCGACGACAGAATGGGTTCTGCCATAGACTTTCTCTCTCGGTACCACCTTGACGGTAAATACTTTTTGAACATTATTGTTACTCCGGTAGTCTACATGAGTGCTGGGATAAAACGGCATTTAATGCAATGGGGCCATACCGCTTCTCCAAAC